TCTCTAGAAGCCACCAATCTACTTTCTGTCTCTATGGATTTGCCTACTTTCTATATTTCATATAAATGGAAGAAGATAACATGTGATGTTTTCATTCACATAACACAATGTTTTTGAAGTTTATCCTTGTTAAAGCATATATTAGTATTTCATTTTAAAAGACAGTTTTATTAGCACTTTATCACATCATACAATTCAATAGTCCAATCATATCAAGAATAGTAATACGTCAACACAATCAATTCTAGAACATTTTCTTCTTCCTTGTACTCACTGTTATTCATGTAATTATTTTTTTCTAATTGTCGTGAAAATATATACAACAAAACATCTTCCAATTCCACAACTTGTACATGTATAATTCAGTGCTATTGAATATACTCTTCATGTTGTACAACCATTATTGATATCCTTTTCCAAATTATTCCACCACCACTAACATAAACTCAATGCCCCCTGCGCAACAACTCTTTCTCCTTCACCCATGGTAATCGTTGGTCAAGTTAGTACTTCTTCTTTTTTAGTGGCTAAGTAATAGTCTATAGTATATCTATGCCACAACCTACTGGGTCATTTTTCATCGTCTTTTGACTACTGTGAATAGTGCTGCTATGTGCATTCCTATTAAGGTGTTTTCAATTCTTTTGGGTATGTGCTTAGCAATGGAGTTCCCAAGTCACAGGGTAATTCTAAGTTTAGTTTTTAGTGGGAGTTCCAAACTACTTTCCACTGCAGCTGTACCACTTTAGATTGCCTCCAGTAATGAACGTATGAAGGCTCCAATCTTTCCATATCTTCACAAACACTTGTTACTTCTCCATTCTTTCAATATAGCAATCCCATTGGGTGTGAAGTACCAAAACACTTAAAACATTAAGAAAAAATTGTGGTAAAGTACATATAGCACAACATTTGCTACGTCAATGATTTTAAAGTATGTAACTCCATGATATTAATTACTTTCAATTTGTTATGTAATCATTACCACTATTCATATCCAAATGTTTTCATCACCTTAAAAGTAAAGTATGAGATTTAAAGGATCCAAGACCTGGAGTTAGAATGCAAAAGGAAGAACACACATGGCATTTCTCAAGTGAAAGAATTGAAGAAAAAGTCTAGCTTCAAACTGCAGTAAGGTCAGTGACATTTTACCTGGATCCACAGTCAATACTATGGAAGCAGCAGTCAGGAAATCAAAGGAAGTATTGCATTGGGCAAACCTGCTGCGAAGGACCTCTTTAAAGTGTGAACAGAGCAGAGGTGACACTTTGAGGAGTAAGGTGTGACTGACCCAACTCATCCTTTTCACCAGCTACTCTACGGGAAAATATGCTCCCTATATACAGTCTGTGGAGGGTTGTGAGTTGGAATTGTTTTGATAACAGTGGGTCTATTTTCTTTTTTGGTATGGTCTGGTCACAATATTGAATGCTCCAGGAAGCATTCAAATAAGATGGAGCCAATGCACAGTCACTGTACCAAGAATAATTGGCATATGAAGGGGTACCCCCCAAAAACTGGATAAAAGCTCCACTGGGAGGAGCTTTCATAGTACTCATTTGTGTTAGTCTGGGTAGACTAGAGAAACAAATCCATGGAGACACACATATGCATAAGAAAGAGATTTATATACAAGAGCAATTGTACATTGAGAAAACATCCTAGCCCAGTCCAGATCAAGTCCATAAGTCTGATAGTAGTCCATATTTCTGATATCAATCTATAAAGTCCTCTTCAGACTCACGAAACACATGCAGTGACGCCAAAGGCAGAAGATCACAGACCAGTGGGTAGAAAGTCTTTGGATCCAGTGTCATTGGAAACATCTCAGCGTGGCAGGGGTCTCTCTGTGGCTTCTCCAGTTTCCAAGATCTGGTTGCATCCACGTTGCTTGTCTTCTGCAATGTCTCCCAGGGAGTCGCAGAGACAAAAAAGTGCCTTCTGCCTCCAAGGAGGAAGTACCAGATTTCCCAGAATTCTCAGGAGAAGGACATGCCCACAGAAGTCTCATTGGCTATCTCCAGATTGACAGCCTAGACTCCACCCCTACACTCTTAATCCTTAAATTGACACCAGATTAGGTGACTGCCACA